CTACAACAGATATATCTTTTAGTAAGGTGGTGGCTGCATTAATGTCCTACAGAAGATCTTAATTGTTCATAGTGTTTGTGTACATGTGTTTGTATTTGTAATTGCATGTGCCAGTATGCAGTCCTATTCTGCATCTGGAAATAATCCTTATATGGTCTTATTATGGATTTGCACTGGTCGTATGGCTTGCATTTCTTCATAGACCCAACTATCAACCTTTCCCAAATGAATGTTATACTCGGGATTTGCAAGTAGTCCTTCCTAATTAGTGTTCTAGCTCATAGTACATGAGATCTAATTATAGCGTCTTACACCGGCATACCCCAATTAAGTTGACATATCTGTTGATATACAGATTAAGTATTCAATAATCATTGCCAATAGAAATTGAACCCTGGATCTGTCACTTGGGGGCTGACACCTTGACCACTTCACTAAGTCGCCACACCCTTGCTGACTTAAGAATTGTAATCGTTTTAAAAGATAAAATGTCGAATTCCATCTTGTAGAAATGTCGCAAACTACAAAAAGAAAGTTATTTCAGTCTTCTATCTCCATTTAAGCTTCCAAAAGAAATTGTTTTTGCTTTGGACTTCTGCTAAAATAAAATATAATATCTTTATATTTTTTTATTAGATTAGTAATTTTAGAACAACCTTTTAACGCATCATTAATTGCGAGTTGCAAAGTATAGCCAAAACAATGAACTTTAAAAATGCTATATTTTTGCTCTAATTTTTCTAAACAAGATTTAAGGGTAGAGGGTATTACATGTCAATCACCTGATTTGTTTACTAGTAAATTTTTCTAGGTAGTACAATATAAATAACATATAGATTCAATTGATTTGCTATTATAAAATGATCTACCATATAATTACTATAAAAAGTAATTTGTATACCCTCTACCTTTAATGTTTGACCCATTATCAATCATACCACTAGTAGTTATACATTTAAGCTGAAGACTATCTAAAATTTCAGTAATTTTATTTAAAAGACACTCAGAAGTATGCGGATATTGAAGATATGAAATGTTACCAATCATTTCTTTTATTTGAAAACTATCGTTAATCCAGTAAAAAGTAAGTCTAATATATGGATCACCATTATTTGATGTTCATATATTGGTAGTAAATAAAATATAACTAACTTCAGAACTATCTTGTGCATATTTACGAAGGTTTTGCAAAACCTTGTCTTCGGAATTAATAAGAATCTCCTTTAAACGATCATTACCAAGTATATTAGTCTGAACATCTAGTTCTTCAATAATTCTTTTAAATAATTATAATTAAATAATCGAAAATGGCTAAAGTTCTTTAACGATAAAAGCAACTATGTTATTATCAAAATTTTTTTGTTTGGAGTTATTAAGCACATATTTTTTAATTTTGTTGAAGGTTTCTATTATTGTTGGTTGTAAGGATTCTGGCATTATAGAAAATTCACAAACATTATCCTTTACTACAACTTTTACCTGACCACCTTCTATTATGGCTTGTGAAATATGGTGTTTATTCCTTAAGGGTAGGGTGTCCATAGATCATTTTTCATAAAATCTACGTGGTATATTAAAATTTTACATAGACAGCAAAAATTCGCCACTGATAAAACTTTTTAGAATCGTGACTAAT